TTTCCGACATCTATGTACATAACGGAAATGGAAAATATCAAGACGGACGTCATTGGAATATGAGAAACCCAAAGACCTACAGAACTTGTGTAATGGAACAACGCAGAACAAGTGTTCTTTGGGGAGGCCTCCGAGAGCTGCGCTATGATGGGCGGTTTGGGGTTCATACTTTAGAATGAAAGGCTGCACCACTTGCACTGAATCGTGATATCACATCACCTCCTATAGCAATTCTACTGTTACAGATGGGCAGAAGACGAACAATAAATCTAATCTAATTTTAATGTCCAGCCCAGCAAACTGAAGGTAAAGACTCAGAAAAATTCTGCGATAAGAAGACACGGTATCCGGGAAAATTTAAACATAATGGTCAGGAAAAGAACGAAAGGAATACGGATATGGAATTGTCTATCGGCAAATACGCGTAAAGTAAAAGAAACGGACGTTGAGATCGCTTGGCAGCTTTCGCTGAAAGCACCCACCTTTACGCCATGAACAGTTTTCCAGAAAGTTCCAAAGCGACCTTGAACGCTACCCGAGCAACCGACGGAGTATTTGAATTAAATCGAGTCTGTACATACTCTGACAAGAAACGAACGATATGAGACGAGAACATCATCTGCTCAGCTTCAGATCAGATGCTTTTATAATCCACAGCTAAGATCGATGTCGCATGACAGGAGCAGATCAAAAGGTTCCAAATATCACTTTATTGTGAGAACTACGATTCGTTCTTGAGGCTTAATTGACCTTGAAATAAACATCAGCTAGGGCATAGATATAGAATATGACCATTTTGTTAATGATATTAAGATGTCGGTTACAGCATCAAGCCGGACTGTAAAGTCAACAAGCGACCTGCACATCAGCCCCTGAACAAAGTAGCTAATGGTGAGAAGAAGCTAGCCGAAGATCGAAAGGGTAATGGATAACGCATGGACTGCATTGTGTAAAGAGACACGGAAGAAAGTGAGGGAAGACAGAAAACTACAGGAGGATTTGATTAAGTGAAGCTGCGAATGCAGAGGAAAGCCTGAGAGCTAGGAACGAGATATTCGCATAAAACAACGGAATATCGAGTGCATTGAGAGACGAAGGAGGATGAGCAATAAGTACTATTTGCAGTCAGATGACCGGGAACTGTACACAATTCTGCAACAACCGGTACTCCTCCAAAGTAGGGTTGAATCGGAAGTGTCCACACGTTGCTTCAGAGGCCATTCTCGAAGTCATTTGTGATGAAATTCAGTGGGCAATCAAGAACATTAAGAAGGGCAAATGGCCCAACCAAAGATGATATAAAGCACAGGCCTCCTACGTTCACGAAGAGGCGAAGGCTCGGTGATGTGTCTCCTCTGAGAGACAAACAGTGGACGTCAAGAGTTACAAGCTGGGTTCCGCTAGACCATCGACGTTGAGTCGATCGTCGAACAATTCGCGCGAATCATTCGGTGGCCAAATTACTTGGTCAGCGGTGGAGGCAACGCATCGACTTATGTTCTTGACTCACACATAACGACTACTAGTCGGATTACGGCTATATAAGATGATTTGAAAGTGTATATTACCTAGATAATTATATGATGTATGTATATATTGAGTAATCCACGTCACTTGTGCATATGGGTGTGGATTATATATGAATTGAGCTAATGTAGATGCTTGACTGTATATACTTGATGTATGACTCTCCGTTACACTCACTTTATTTCGATGACGCAGTATTTAATGTATAAATATACTTGCATGTTAGAAAGCAGCTTAGACCAAGACGCTGAACTTCCGAATTCACGCGTATCAACAATGTCCAGCACTCCAGATCCATGAAGATGCTAGTCAGAAATCTAATGACCTTTTAAGCGATGAAACAGGCGATGACCCGCTGACGGTCAAAAATTTCGTGAGAACAGTTGTGAACCATTCCATCATTGAAACTTGCTAATTTGGTGTATTTTTTGAATGTAAAGTTGCCAAGAATAGTTTCATTTTTTGTGTCCTTGTGATGTTTTAGGACATTGAACAAATCAGTTTCAAGATGGTAACAATTGCCACTGATGCTTTTATGCTTTATAGACAAAAGGCACTGAAGGATCTAAATGCTAAGCTGATGCACTTCCAAGAGTCTGCCGCTGCCGGCTCAATATACCAGGGGCCTGCTGATCCGCGGAATCTGCAAGGGCAACATCAACAACAATCGACTCTCGTAACTGAGCTGCCGCAGTCAATGCAGAGGACTAATTTTGAAACCGTGTGAAGTTGTTGTTTTTTGGTTGTTGGTTGACCCAGAAATCGTATTTGTTCACTTATTATGTAATTTTAAAATTTCAGCGTCTTTGCGTTTTTGATGTTACTGTAGCGGGCTACTTATTTTTCATGTACAACATGCTAATTTGGAGATGTTTTGTGAAAGGCAATCTGTGTATGTTATTATACAGCAGAAGATTGGTGCTACTAACGAAAGGTTAATGTTCATTACTGTCAGTGAGGATAAGCAATGAATGTCACTACTTCAGCGCGATGACCACCACCATACGGTTCATTAAGGTAGTTTTAGATTAGCAAATTTAGCATAAATATCAGACTTCGAGGTTTTTCTGAGGATGTTCTATTCCAAAGTTCTAATGCAACAGGGCATATCTTGTTCAACACCTCAGGTGTTTGCAGGAAGTATGTTTGTTTTCGAAACGTTTTATGCAATTTTTGCTTCCATGGAGTTAATACTTTGGGTTGATCATATCTGATCACTTTAGATGGGTGTGGTGTATTGATATGATGCCGTTGCAGACGATAGGATATGCTGTTTTCATTGGCAGCGTTTTCCCCGCAAACAGCCAGCACGTTCTAAGGTCTTTGCACTTATTTTATCCTTCGTCAAATTCAAGTTTTGACTGTCATTATTCTTTTGCGAAAGTGCTGTTGTTTTTGTTCTTTAATTACTTTCCTTGTTGAATCTGGCGTTATGCGCGACGCGTCTGATGTATAGAAAATCGAATCGTCTACTTAGCTATAGCTTACTTCATGGTTAAGGAACGCTTGCAGATAGTTTAGGCTAACCCACTGTACAATTCACGAAAAGCATTATTTATGGTATCTTTCAGAAACACAGATTATCATTTCCACTTTCGTATCGACTATATAATTTATGCAGTGAATATTTGTTCGGTCATCCACGTTTCTAAACTGAGTCAAAATCTAGAATATGGAACTTAGTCTATTGCTGTAACTTCATTCTAAACTCCCTGACTCTAGAGTCCGACATAGTACCTAAACCTTAATGCTCAAACAGCTTACTGAGTACAGAACGAAAGAAGATTCTTAATCCATTCCTTCATTTTCAGGTAGTAAAGGTATAACTGCAGTTGATTTGAGTGTCCCCTTGGAGAATAACGGACGGTAAAATTAAATCGTTCTGCTATGCTTACAGATAAGTAAAATGCCCTTCCCCTAAGGCACCTTGTTCAAAAGTCTTTCGATTAAAGCCGAACTATGTCACTGGCTTTCATAGTTGTCAGACAAATAAACGAATGTGGGACAAAAGAAGTCAATACAAACTAAATGCCGCAGATACTGATTTAAAAAACAAGGCATTCATAATTGATGGAGTCGAACACGTTGAAAGATGATAATCCATGTTTGAGTGCATGACGGATGGCAGGAAAATACTCATTCAGTGCTGCTTTTGTCATGCGTTTTCTCATTTTGTTATTAACTAATCACTAGCATTTGCAGATAAAATTATGATTTATGAAGAGCCCTTTTAAAGACGGTAGCGTTAAAGTCTACCGCATCGTCGTAATCCTCGGATATGGGCAATTGCAACAGGACCGTAGAAGGTTTAAGTGCGTTTGCTAACCGTGATATAGGGTACGACGCAACCAGTGTTTGTTTCTTTTCTGTTTGGCTTTAATTAAAATAAAGGTCATTTGTCATGTGTAAGCGATTAAGCCGGATTTGCAGCTTATGACAGCATGCCTCATTTCAATAGAACATAAGTTATACCCAATCATGAATTGACTTTCGCGAAGAGCAGGGTATTGCTCTGCCAATGAAGTGAATGGATGTGTTCGTATATCGTGCATCCGTTGTCAGTTTGAATTTTTCTCTTAACCATCTATGAGCGAGATGCACTGCCATAACGCATGAAAGCGGCTATATAGAATTATGCACTGATTTAACGTCTGTTTTCAGATTAAGCGAGTTTCAGATATGCATTTGATGCCTGCCGTAATAGGTTCAAAATTAATGGCTACCATTAGCGTAAAGTATGACCTAAACGTAATAAGTCATGTATCATTTAATGTAGCCAGAAGATGTCCGTGGAGAACTTTGTTCTAACGAGTGACCAGTTACTAGAAATTATTTCCGAAATGAATGCATAATTTCTTGTATGCTGATAAGTATGGCGGTTTCTGAAGTATCGTTGCTATAAGAAGAGCAGCTGATGTGTATTTTGTCTTCACAGATATGATTTCCGTGCCATTGGGCATATGTTGCGAATGCCTTCAGAAAGGAAGGCTAAGCAACTGTTCCTTGTAAATCCGACCGGTACAAGGCCCAGGGGACGGCCAAGATTAACCTGGTGCAGACATATGGAATGAGTCTGTTCCAGACTCCGTTTGTCAGACTCTGGCACAGGATCAGGAACGTTGGATGCACTGTCTGACGCATCTGCCTCCGCGACCTCAGGCGATGGAAGATGAAGATGATGAAAATATGATTTCCATTAGACGACTAGAAGCGATGGTCAACATGAAAGACTAAAATTATTTTTTATCTCACATGAATACGACTTCTCACCTCGACGAAATCGGTCATGATCAGGAAACAAGGAATAAAATCATCTCTTTCATGATCAGTCACCTACTCTCCCGTAAACTTTCTGGACTTTCTAGTGGAACGATATAAAATAATTTATATTTTTAACTTTTGTGTTACAGCTGAGTTTCTTAGTGCTTTCAGGTGAACCTCGTTTTGCTCCGCTGTGAAGCCTGTCAGTTGAAATGGCCCATCTTTGTTCCTTGCCAAACGACGTCTACCAGCTGATTCTGCCGCGCTTGTCGTTCTGCGACGTCTTGCGCCTTGAAGCTACCTGTCGTTTTTGCCAGAAAGTTTGCCAGCTGTACTGGCGAACTCTGGTATCGCTGGATATGATTCCGCTTCTGAACGCCAACAGTAGCGACGTCCTTCACCACGGCTACAAGTTTGACCGGGTGGCGAAGAACCTCATTCTGCGAGCTTCACCGTATTTGAAACGCCTCAGCTTGTCCAGCTTTGGTCCGCTGGATTATAGCTTGCAGACAGGCTTGGAGAACGCAGTTCTCGACTACTGCGGACGCCTGCAGGCGATCGAGTTGAATAACCGCATATTGGATAAGGACTGGCTGGTCGAGTTAGCTAAGCGCAACCCAGGGCTTCGACAAGTGTCGCTGTGCAACGTATACGTGCGAAACCGCGCCGGACTGGACGATGAGCTGCTGGCTACTCTGCTGCACTTTTTGTCACAGCTGCAGGTGCTGGTGCTGCGGGACAACCAGTACTTGAGAATGAGCTGCTATGCGGCACTGCCACCGTCTCTGGTACAGCTGGACGTT